CTCTATTCTGATCTATCTATCTATTTTGACTATATCTCTATTCTTATCTATCTATCTATCTATCTATCTATCTATCTATCTATCTATCTATCTATGACTTTATCTCTATTCTGATCTATCTATCTATCTATTTTGACTATATCTCTATTCTAATCTATCTATCTATCTATCTATCTATCTATCTATCTATCTATCTATCTTTGACTGTATCTCTATTCTGATCTATCTATCTATCTATCTATCTATCGATTTTGACTATATCTCTATTCTTATCTATCTATCTATCTATCTATCTTTGACAGTATCTCAATTCTTATCTGTTTATAGCAGCTTTCTATGCCTGTCAATTATTTTGATTGCCTTTCTGTCCCCCCCATTCCCTGCTGAAACCTGCGCATCCATTAAAACCCTCTGCTTAATCATCAGCTTTCTTGTGTACACGATACATGCACACCTACCCACGGGTAGAGCGATAATAGTGTAAATGATGCGCACTTGTAGGCTTGCCGGTGCACGGGTGGCCAATGACAAATGGAGTTCTTAATGACAACCCAAAGGCGAATGGATCCAAGAACGCCAACCTAACCTGCAACCGACTCCACCGCAACGTCCTTTTAAGGGTTCCAATCACAATACACCCCAAATGTTGAAGGTCTTTGAACATCCGAGTGTTTATTCATATTACTTTGCAATGCAGTAATCAGCTGAGCCATGATTAAAAAAGAAACAATATATTATTCTGCTTACTGGGCTAAGATAATTTTTAGAGAATATCACTTTCATGGGTCTACGACTGAAGGATAAAATTGTTAGCTGTTACATCTTTGCAAACTATTCAAGTTATCTGTTAGCCTGTTCAGTCAAATCTACCAGTTTATCGATATATCTGTCATTCTATCGATGTTTGATTAGCCTTGCCTCGTCCTGGAATAAGCCCACAGTAACAGAGCTCCAGTGTTAGTTACGTTATTTCCCGCCAGAACTAGGGTTTCGTATTCAAGCCAGGGAAAGAGTCAAATATACGAATGCTGTTTTTGTTTTTTTTCAGAAAGACGGGTGCTTTCCAGTTGGCGTCACATAATCTTTCTCCATAATCGAGAACTATTGTGAAATCAACATCATTTTTTATAATTAAGCTATGGACTTACTGACATATATATATTTAATCATTTCAATCCCATGTAATGGGATAATTCCATTAAGACGCAAAGAGTTACTGAGAATGAGAGGAGAGGTTAATGAGGAGAAAGGTCAATAAAAGAACAGGTTTGAAAAAGACAGAAGATGGTGATTGACGTTGCATTTAAACTTTTCAGGATCGTAGGTAGCAGGTTTGCAAGAAAATGGAAGAGAATTACACAGGCGAGAAGTGCGAGAGAAGAAACTCTAAAAATAGAACTTACGGCACATTTAGCTATTTCAACAGTAAAAATTTGAGACCTCTAGTAGTAAGCTTAAATTCATGCGCCTGTGACTCAATGATGAATGTTCATTAGAACAAAATTATACAAAAGACACGGTGAAGTAGGTGGGAAAGTAACTGAAGTCGAGATGCCAGGTCAATATCTATAACATTACAAATTCTTTTGATTTTGTCGAGAATCTTGAGCTATATAGGAGCATCAGATCACATATGGCAAAAATATTCAATACGCTGATGAATGATAGATTTATAAACATGCAAGAGGGATTCTGTCAAGAAGAATTGTCTGGCCCGACACAGTGAATCAAGTTCGCTAGCGATTGTTTGAACATAATGTTTCCACTTCATGTCAGCGGAAATCGTGAACCCCAAAAGGCGTAATGAGGTGCTCTCCTCGAGGTTAGCCATACTGATGAAAGGGAAATAATTAGGATGACTAAAATATATCACTTTCGTTTTGGAGGCCTTAAAATTTACAATCTATTTCTGCCCCAGTTATCAACTGATTGGAGGTCATTTTTGAGATCATCTGGCAGATTTATATATATATATATATATATATATATATATATATATATATAATTAAGTAATTCATCGAGTCTAGAAGAAACCTCAACAGAATGCAGAAAGGACTGGCACAGCTTCGACAACGAGAAACAAATCCGGATTTTATAAGCCTTGATAAACCAATGACATCCCCGCCTCTGTATATAAACACGTGTAGAATAATAAATCCGTATTGGATTGAAAAAGTCTCTCAGAGGACCAAATGCGTCGGATAAGCATAGGTTTTTTTTATTTATTTTTATTAATCTTGTCTCTTCTGCAGTAGAAAAACTCTAAGAATATTTACACACACACACACACACACACACACACACACACACACACACACATTTCTTGACTTATTATGTTACTTACATTGAGCTGTCTTTGGATTTATCTTGGAATAATCCCTCTCTTTGGATTTATCTTGGAATAATCCCTCTCTTTGGATTTAGCTTAGAATAATCCCTCTCTTTGGATTTAGCTTAGAATAATCCCTCTCTTTGGATTTAGCTTAGAATAATCCCTCTCTTTGGATTTAGCTTAGAATAATCCCTCTCTTTGGATTTAGCTTAGAATAATCCCTCTCTTTGGATTTCGCTTAGAATAATCCCTCTCTTTGGATTTAGCTTGGAATAATCCCTCTCTTTGGATTTATCGTGGAATAATCCCTCTCTTATTTTGCAATTATTCTTAACAGTTGGTATTATATATGTGTGTGTGTATATGTGTGTGTGCATGTATATCTATATCTGTCTCTCTCTCTCTCTATATCTATATATATATATATATATATATATATATATATGTGTGTGTGTGTGTGTGTGTGTGTGTGTGTACAATTTTCTTTTACCTCAGAAGCGTGATCAATAGAGCAGCAACGAAATCAACAGACGCATCCAGGCAACCGGAGCCGCTTTTGGTGTCTCGAGACACCGACAATATGAACAATGAGGTATCAAGCTTGTCACCAAGATCTCTCGAACGGTTTGCATCTCAACCTTGATGTGGCACCATTTACGAGGCAGAGAAAGGAAGAGAAAGAAAAGAAGGCAGAAAGAAAGGCGAGACGAATCGTAGGTGATAAGCAACCACACACACGGCTAAGAGACAATGAAAATATTGATAAGTAACAAATGAAAAAGGGTGTCATTACAATGACAGGGAATTTCTGAGTAAAAAAGAAAGGGAAAGAAAGAAGGAATCAGATGTGTTTTGATAACGGCTGTGTTATCTGGGAACGGCTGGACCACTGGCCAGGGAAAAATTCGAGTGAAAATGCTATTTCGATGAGTGACGAGAAACAGGCCACTAAAAAGGATTTTGGACAGATATGAAAAATTAAATGCCACACAAGTAGTGCGCTGACCGAATTTTTTTTCGACGAAACAACTTTGGCCTGCGATAATAAAATTATGTTATCAGGAATATGTACCGAAGGAAAATGAATGGGGACCCAGAAGTGTTTTTCTTTCTTCCTTGGAGGCGACAGACTGACTGAAAACTTTGGGGATATTTCTTTTTTGAAGCCATGTTAAGAATACCACCCATCTTGATAAATTAGCGATAAAATACCTGACAAACACCACGTGTAAAACAAGAGTTGTCATATTGTCCGTTGCGACTAGAAGGGTGATAACGGCGATTGAAAGGAAGAAAAGGGAAAGAGAAGAGATAATTTTTTTTTTAGTTAAGCAAGATATTTTTTTTCCCCGAAACAAAGCCACGGATTGTTCACGCCCGACTAAGACATCATTGGTCAAGTGGTGGTCACGTAACGCACGAAGGAGGAGGAAAGATACCTGACCAAGACCTCATTGGCCGAGTTGTGATCACGTGACGCACGAAGAAGGCTGTCGACGCCCATCCAGAGTATAAGTATGAGAAGCTGCTACAAAGAAGTGGGGAGGGAAGTTCACGACCCTCAGAGGTATGGTGAGAAAGTGGGAGTGAGGAAAGGTTCCCAAAAATGGAAAAGAGTGGAAAATCCCTAACCAGAAATAAAAGAGGTGGATATGTATTTAGAATTATCGAGGAACCCCCCGACGCCAACAGACCCAACCCGGTTTTGGTCGGCGTCAATAAAAGCGAGGCCCCAACAGGCAGAAATCAGTTCGGGCTCGAGTTTCCAGAGTTGAGTTCCCAGAGTCAGTCTCCAGTTGAAGCCGCCTCGAGATAGCTGACCAAGATTCACGCAAATTCCGGACTCCTCTTCAACCTAAGAACAATTATTTTGAAGAGCGACTTAGAACCGGACCACCGAAATAAGTTTTTCGACTTTCGTCCAAAGACACACCGAAACACCAATTTCTTAGAGAGCAGACAACTTGAAGCGTTAAAACTTGCCTAGCGGAAACGACGTGTCACAATCCACAGAACGGGTCGGGAGATAGATGCATTCCTATGTATCGAACAACTAGACATAAAGTTTGTTACCTTTTTCTTTGATACTTTGAACTTTTTGAGTTTTCATTTTATTTTCTTTTATGCATATTTGTGTAGTATCACCCGCGTTGAACTCAATTTGCATTACGGCCCCAACCACTGTTTGATCTCGTCTGTCTAAGATCAATTCACAACGTGGGTAGGCAGACTGGAGATCAATGCAGTTACCTTGGTAACCAGGCGTTGGAAGCGAGTTGGGAACGACGTGGCTGATATCAAATCTAACCAGATTCCCACCCGAATCACCAAAAGGTTAGAACGTCACATTTGGGTGCCGCGACCGATACCAAGCAGTTGGTTGTCACAGGACGAGACAACACGACTGACGCGACAGGCGGACGTCACGTTTGGAGCAGAACAGCTGGCGCCGCGGCGAGGACGTCACAATTGGTGCTGTTTGGGGACGTCACAACTGGCGCCGTGGTAGATCAGGATAGAACGTCACAGTTGGCGCTGCGACCTGGGGACGACATCACATTGATGTACACTCTAGAATCTGTACCTCTATAGTGAAGGGTTATCAAACTCTTAACAAGTTTGAAGTGGCGCCATTTGCGCTACATGCAGCATATCTGGTGGAAAGACAATGTCCCTAACACCGAAGTCCTTGCCAGAGCCATCACACCGGGACGACAAGCATGACTATCCTTTTTACGACTCTCGATTGCCGAAAATCGCTCCCTACGGTGAACTAAAGTGCGTGAATCGACGGCGAGTAGGTCTTTAATGAATTCATGAAGACAGACCTGAAAGCGATGCGAGATCAATGTAAACCATTGGAAACAGCTAGCTTTAGGGCTGCTTTGCATGGCAATGACAGTTTTTTTTCTTTACAGTGCTGTTTACCCGGTACAAGACCTTAGGGCCATTCGAAATTTAGGGTTACAGAGAAAGAAGCTTTTGTATGGAATATAACCGTTAACTCTTGACTTGAACAGGTTGAGATTGAAATGATCGGGGGTACCAGCCTCTTGTGTGTTGGTTCCCCGGGGCAGCAGATCATAGGAAGCAGCTGTTTGAGTGGAACTTAGGTTTCACCAGAGGAATATGAAGAGGATGAGACGGTGGGTATTAGCCGTGAAGGTTAGGACAGGTGGAAGTAAGACGTGTACTTCATCTGAACACATATCATGGAAATAGCGATAGAGCAGTGAGAGATCTCGCCTGTATGTATGAGAGAGAGAGAGAGAGAGAGTGAGAGAGGTTGGAGGGTTGAAAATAATTCTTCCCTAACAATGATTCGGAGACGCTTTTGAACTCTGTCAAGACTGGAAAGTGAGGACCGGACAGCTCCTACCGCCCATATAAGGCAACAGTACTTCATTTACGGCCTGACCTCGCTCTTATAAAGGAAGAAAATATCACGAGAAATTTCAGCTGCCTCTTCTTGATGTTAATTATAAATTTTCTTTTTCTTTCCATTTTCTCTAAAACCTCACGTCGTTGTTCCATGGTATCCTCAACAATTTTTGTAGAACCACATTTAAGTTGCTTAAGTCTGTTCTTCATCTGTGAGAAGATTGTCCAGTATTCGCTGCCATACAGGAGGACAGATATCACGTAACAGTACAGTACTCTTTTGTTCGTTTCTAAAAAAAAAATGTTTTACTAAGATTTTAAAATTATTATAGATAACTCTCTTATTCATAAAAAATATAGTATTTTGTTCATTGCTATTATTTTGTTATCCTTAATATATTATAATTTAGTTTTTATTGATTTGTTGTTAAATATTTTTTGTTAATTGTTTCACCCTAAGCAATGTGATACCGAGTGAGAAAGAATAATAAATAAAGAGAAACCTTATTCAGGAGTGAGAACAATAAAAGAAGAGTAATCAAAAAGACGATCGACATTGCATTTAAATTTTTTGAAATCAAAGTTGGCTGGAAAGCGTGGAGTCGGAAGAGAATTTCACAAGTCATAAATGTCTGCTACTATTTGTTGTTACCGCGGTAAAATAAAACCTAAGAAAGTTTCTTATCAATAGAAAGTGTTATGTGCTGGGAGACATTGGAATGAGAAGGGTTAATACAACAAAAAAAAAATTAAAAAAAAACCCCGTCGGAAGAGTTGAGGATTTAATTTGCACATGAACGACTTGAATTGTATGTCGAGCAGTTTGAACAATGGAAAAGTGAAACATAGTTAGGGGGCAATGTTGATTGACACACAACTGCAAATGCAAGCTGTAAAGCGAAAATTTCATTTTTCGTAAACAACAAATTTGGAGTTGATTCCCCTGGTCGAAAGTTGAGTTAAAATACCAGGAGGGGGGTGGATAAACCACTCCCGCTCACTGAGGAGATTTAGTGAGAGGTAATAATATGAGAGTGTGGAAGGAGAGAATTCCTCAGAATTATCATGTTTTCTTATTTCGTCAGTTTGGGCGAATGTCGATACATACGAATGCTCGAAGCGAATTTGGCAGATGAGTCGCAGAAGAGAGGCAGGAAAGACAGAGACGAGACCAGAAACAGGGGAGAGGTCCACGTGGTTATCTGAGGACGAAAAATTCCGACTTCAGCCTTATGCCGAATTTTACCATAACAGCAACCTAAATTTTACCTTTCGATTTAGATGCGGGTTGCGCTGATAATTAATTGCATGTGAACTTTGATATAACAAATTATAGTACGAAGGATTGATATAAAAACAGTATTTACTTTTGTTCAGTTCATTCGACTGTTATTTTTTTCCTATACATCTTCGCTCTGCTTGGACGAGCCTAGCACGAAGATACTTGCGACGATTCGATCTTGGCCTCCTTATGATCAAAATTAAATCCTAACGTGGGATAAGGCAGGTCTAAGATCGAAACGATCTTCTTCGATCAGCCGTTGTTTGGGCAGTCGTGGACGACCGGGGAGGGTGTTATATCATTACAAATGAAACTGGTAGTATATAACTCACAGTTACATTTAACCAATTCCACTCTAAATAGATGAGATCCCGTTCCCAATCCGGTACTGCGCTTAAATTCATAAAATCTAGGTAACATAGAAGAGAGTAATATTTATTTTGCACAAGGCCAAAAGGAGGGATAGGGGAATGCTGGTCTTCAATCAATTCTTATCTTAAATTTAGTTAACCACAATTACTGACCCAAACATACTACAGTATTCCTTACACCAAAACAACACATTCTTACTTACCATTCTTACTATAGCCATCATAATAACTCAAAATCTCTATAGCCATTTCAATTATTAAATAATGAGACCTTTCCATCAATCTAGTACTGCGTTTAAATTCGTAAAGTCTAGGTAACATAGAGGAAAGTGATATTTATTTTGAAAATACAAAAAGGTGGCATAAGGCCAAGGGGAGGGATAGGAAGGCTGAAAACTACCTAGCCACAATTAGTGACCTAAACATACCACAGTATTCCATGCACCAAAATAATACATTTTTACTTAGCATTCTTACTACAGCCACAATAATTCCTCAAAGTCTATATGGAGTTCTAACGAGTTCCAGTATGTACAATTAGTCTGGTGGTGGTAAAAATAACAATATTTAAAAGTTAAAACCCAGTGAATATTTACAATGATTACAATTTATATACAAGAAACTTTACAAGGTCGTGTTAGTAATACCCACAAACCAAAGTAATCCTTAATTTTGGCAGAAAAATCAGTTAACTGGACGTAATTAATACGGGGCTAGGTATTTAAGAACAAACATTCGACTAAACACTCACGCAAACATACCCCCATCAAGACACAAAAACAAATGCGAAATAAACACTTGAAAAACGAAAAGCGCCCGCATCTACCAGAGAACTGACATCCCTGTTACCAAACGGAGGATGGAAGGTGGGAATTAAACTAAAAAAGGAAAGAAATAAAATAGGCCAATGAGCATACATCCCCAAAGAGAAGAATTTATCAGAACAATTACCAGGCAAAATATTCATAGAAAAGGCACAGGGAAGATACGTCAAAATGGTTGTATTTATTAATTTATTTTATTATTTACTACCAGGCTTCGCCCGTTCGCTATTGCATTGCAAATTAAGATATATTCACTACTTGAAATCTTTGAAAAAAAAAATTTCAAATGAACATTTCATTCATAAATTATTTGTAAACATGAAAGAAAACATTTGTATTTATTCAGATAGCTAAACATTAGAATTTTAGCCGTTTTTAAACCAATGAAACATGGTCAAAATGGATAGCATTTAACAGTTGTTAACATAAATAAATTATATGTATTTGCATGAATGAAAAACATAATGGCGAAAAAATTGAAATCAAAATGAAGTTTTATCTTAAATAATTCTTGCTGTAAAGCAACAGGATAAACTAGATTTTTGTTTTTTTATTTGGAGTAAGTATAAATAAATTCCTTCCATTTCCAACTCTTGAACAGGCAATATATAATGGACCATGAGAAAAGCAAGATTGCATAAGGTGAAGTCCTGTAACTCCTGTAAAAAGGCAGCTAAATATGGATGCTAGATACATAAACTGATAAATGTTTACCTTAGAAAAATAACCTGGTAATTTTTCTAGGAAAAATTAGTTGTTTTTCTATAGGATTAATGTTCACTGTTTATGAAATGTTGAAAGGGTTGAGGACGTTTAAGATATTTGTTCAAAATATAACTGTAAAGACAGAAGAAATTAATTGGTCGGGTGTCAGGGACAGGCTTGTTATAGTTAAGGAGAGTTTTACAAAAAGATGCCAACTTGTTGAAGGCCAAGTAAAATGCAAATTTCAAACACTTTGCTATAATATATAAGACAATATTCCTAAACAGAATTATTTTTAGACATGAAAATCAATACAATCCTCAAATAAAAGAACAGTAATGAAGGACAGTTAATTAGTGAAATAAGTTTTTAAATCAATATGCAAATTAGTTAAACCTGCAAAGTAATATTGCCTAGAAGTAGATAATATATAATGCAGATATTGATTTCCTAATATTAAAATTATTATAAAGTAGAGTTGGGGTCGTTTTAAGCCCCAGAATTCGTGGGAGAATTTAGCTGCATTTATTCATATAGAGGATTATTATTATTATTATTATTATTATTATCTATATTTCTGTTCTGAAACTTTTATTAATATTTATGGAACTATTTATACGTTTCTATATTCAGTCAAAATGGAAAATGCTTTGTAAACGGGATTACAGTTAATGGAACAACCAATAAAACACAGGACGTTTTTCTGATAATATCCTATATGGGCGTCAATATTTACAAAACGTTAATACACAAACAGAAAATTCAAAATTGTTTTTAAAATACTGGGTGTTGTGAAGTACGTATTGGAGAATTTTCGTGAGCTACAGTTTTAATTTAAGAACAATATCACTTGGTAGTTACAAATGAATACAGATTTTTAAAAGTTTTGTAAATTATTATTTATAAATTATTCTAACTCATTTTTTTTTTAAAAAGCAAACAATTTTTTTAATTCTTATTTTCTTAAGACAATACAATAAATAAATATTTTATTCATAAAATCAATTAAAAGCTTTTCAAATATAAAATGTCTGAATTTTTATTGCATTTTTCATTTTACGATTCGAGGCAGATATTCTGTAGCCAAAATGTTTTGATGATTTAAATTCTGCGTGGACTTGTCCTTATAACACTGGTCGAAACCAAATTTATTGTCTAAATATTTTTAGCTGATTTAGGACAATTTGGATGTGCTGAATCCAGAAATTACATTGGTTTTGCTCAATCAGGTCTG